ATGTCACGGATAAATTAAAAACCGCAGGTCCATTCACTTTTCCGTTCGAACAATCCGTTTGCACGAGAAGCACGATTCCAGTTGAACACGCGCATCCGAAATTCAGGTTTCTTTTCCAAACGAAGGCAACGGGAGCGTTAAAGCCGAATGGTCCCGTCCCATTTGCAATTTTAATCAAGTCCGACCCGTTTTCTTTCGAGCTCCAACGGTCCAAAAAATAAAGTTCAAGTTCATAAATTACAGAAACTAGTTTGTTACGTCAACCGAATCAGCGATTTGCATTTACTACGAGCCTGTCACGTTTCTGTTGGCGAGAGACGGCGGTTCATCGATCAGGGGCGATCGGTCGCCGAATAGCGATCGAGACAGATTAATTTTCACGGCGATAGATCGGGAGTAAACAGGAATACGTTACGAGATCGAGGCACTTCTAATCTGTCGGGTCGATCGCGCGCCATTAGGTACCGATGCTTGCCCGATCGGCATGAACCACGCGTACGCTACACCCCGACGTTGCTACGTGACACGTGATACAAATGTTTGAAGCGTAAACCGCGCACGCAGCCAGGGTGTGGTAACTGCTTTGTCCCGTGTCATGAATAAAAAGTCAATCGAGTAACTCCGCACGCAGAAACTAGAAACCACTGTTACCCTTTCGATCGAATTTAATTGCCACCGCGACCGGTTTAATTGGCTCCCCCGATCGAAGAATCGGAGTCGGTTCGTTCAGAATTTAATAGAACGATTACAGCGTAATTGGAGAAAGTATTATGGAATACCGTGCATCCGTCGGAAACGTGAAATTGACGACACTTTCCGTGGATATTAATTAATACAACAAGAGACACTAGGGAACTTCAATTGTTTTTATTCAGCTTCGGTGCTAGAGCAATTATAATCTGTCAATTATGTATGAAATATGTGATCGTTTGTTGCTTATACTATTTATACACAGGGTTGTCATATCTGTTTATGTAAATAGTTTCGAGCAGCGAATGTTAATGAAGTGACGAAACCAGTTCCACTCATCAAAATGGAAGATAATCTTTCGAAACCGAGCTACTAGCGGCGCAAATCATTTTACGAGTATGTAAAGTAAGTAAATCATAATTCCATTGAGATAAACAAACAAACTTTCCAATATAGTCGACGATTCCCCGACGGTTCGAAACGATTCGAACAACGTCCAACGCCGAATCAATGAACACCGAGTGTCACAGTGGCTGGTGCTCAATTGTCTCCTCCGCGAGATAAGAATCAATCAATGGAACCTCGAACGGCGCCATCGTCAACGAGGAACAAAACAGGCCTGACCTTTTGTCCGGCTCCGGGGTGGTGGGATAATCATAATGAAAATGGCGCGACTACCGGTACATTTTAAAAGTAGCTATTACCGCGGAGGAACGAGAAGAGGAAAAAAGAAGTAAACGGCACGGGGGCCGGGGAGAAGGGAGAGAAAAAAAGAAATGAAGAGAAGAGAAAGGGAGAAGATGGAGGCAAAGAGGTGGAAGGAGGATTCTCCACGTGTCCTGTCGCTTAACGGGCATGAATATTTACGTCTGCCTCGAAGGCTTTCGAAGGAGGCTTCAAGATTTCGTTGCGGCTCGTGACCGTAAACTATGGACTTGGATCATGAACGTGGTCATAAAGCTATTCGAAAAGTAGTCACGAATTCGCGGCGGAGAGATTTAGAGATGTAAAGGAGCCACTCCGGCGTCGCCAATTACGCTCGCGACTCTCTTCTTCTCTTTTCTACACGACCCGATGCTCGTTAAACAATTCTTAGAAATGAGTATTTAGTCGAAACGTCTAATGAGAGGAGTAAATGGATTATAAGGAATTATGGAATTACACTGTGCAATTTCGAATATGTTTGTGTACAAGAATCGCTACGTACACGTTCAGATTCTTTTCGTTGGGCTTTCCAGTTGAATAATGCGTATAATTCGAGAGTATCGAGTGCACCGCGTGCGTTCGCCTCCCGCGACTGCACACTGCAGTTTCGAAAGACTCAAGTGCACGCTCGTGTGTCTGGTTGCATGCAGAAAGGCGCAAGCTGACCTTCGGTGAGGTATGCGGCGATATTGGGTACGCAAATAGATCATCGGGGGAAAAACGAGTGATACCATAAAAATATCGAACGATGGGTAAATATAGAGGAAAGCGAGTGACTCGGAAGAAATGGGGCGAGGAACTCTTTCGAATTTGTTAATTTCCGACGAATAAAGATCGTGCGAACTGAGCTTGAATTGCGTATTGTCGAACGTGTACAACAATTTTTGTTTGAAAAATTTATTCTTTTTAACAGACACTATGTGATTCGACGATCATTGGAATTTTCTTAATCGTGTCGAATTACATAAATTAAACAGGAACTGTCGTCTAGATTGGAGCAAGGATAATTCGCCATTTTTGTTCGTGTGTATAGTAGATAAGAATACTACAACTGTGATCGCGAAAGAGGTCCTATTCGATTTTTATGTATGTACAACCATATATTTTTGAAAGGCTGTCGAAACTGAATATTTTAAGCGGTTCAAGGAGATCTGGTAGAACATTAGAATAATTCAAGGCGAAAGGTCGGTGAAGGGAGCGTCAAGGAGACTCCAATGTCACTTAAAATGATACTTTTAATACCTTCCTTTAGATTATGCTATCTCCTGCGTCGCGTACTTCGGTATCGATAAAAAAAGCTACTATACTTTTTAACAAAATTCAATTATCACTATTTTTATGTCTTTCAATGGCTCGCAAAGTGGCTTATTATCTTATTTACGTATTCAAACACGTTCGAGCGGAAAGCGCATTTTAAAATGAAACACTTCTGAGTCGTCCACTGAATTATGATCATTTTATTGCTTCCACTTTTTTCTATCGTTCGTGCATTCAAAAGGTAACGATTCATAAAGCAAGAATTACTGATGATAATTCAAGAACCTTTAAAAGTTTATTGGTTATCATTCTGCACATTTCTCTACCTACAGGTTCATTCATTTTAATCGTCTCTTCCATTCTTGGCGCCTAATACAATTTATTCCAAACGTAATGGAAACTTCTAAATTTTCAAATTTGTCAATTATTCTCAACTTTAATACAGTTTAAATTATCATTAATTATTCGGTATGTCTACTTTTTTTCAATTTAAATTCCCAGGCTTCACCTCCAACCAAAAGAAAAAAGTAAATCTCTTTGCACGGGGGTCAGATACCAAAGCATTCCACAATTCAGACACGCATGCGAGCCGCGTTGGCCGTTACTCGAATTACCCGTGAACACCGTCTGCTTTCTACATCGATCCTCGTAGCCGATTAACCCTTTGCACTCCGAATATTTTTTCATTTTCCCTCCAACCACTCCCTGTGATTTTATGTCTTTTATTCTAACATCAAAATGCAATTGGTTAATAAGCATCTTTTTGAAACAATTGTTCAACTACTTCCTTATATCAAGTAAAACGAATGAACTTAAATTTAAAATGACTCAAAAAATTATAAATTAAATTCAAAAAGTACCTGTGCATAAAACTGAGTGAGACTTGACATAGAAGAACAAGTTTAACCACCTGACATTTTGTCTTATAAATCAAGCAATACAAAATAAGATCAATCTGAAATAATACAGGAAATAAAATGTAAATTGTGTAACATTGGCAACTCAAAAATATCAAGCGAGTCTCGGCACAGGAAGCCCAGCGAACCGAATTGATATCGAGAGAGACCCGACGCACGAGTGCAAAAGGTTAACATTTCGAAAGTCCCCGCAGTTGAACCCGAGGATCGAACGCACCGAATCCTGGATAACCGTGGTACGTTTCCTATTCGATTCCGATCGATTGTTCTAATCGAGCCCGGTCGGATGTAATTGCTTCCTGCGGATGTTACAATTACCGCTACGTATCGGACGGGACGGTGCACAAAAGCTGGGAAAAACAGTTCTGATCGGCATAATAAATTCTAACTGTCCGTGGGAAGAGGCTTCCTTTCATGCCGCGGCGGTGAATTATTCCCATTAATGAACCGTGCAACCTTTTCCATGCGACGCGCGGGTTTATCCCGACACGACCGATCCGCGATCGCGTCGATTTCCGGTGGCCGCGTCGATCGCGCGCCTGGATCCGATCGGCCTCAGAACGATAACGATTTTTATGGGAGAGACGTACGGTACACGGTTAACGGATCCATTTGGAGTTTATGGTGCTCGTTTCTTGATCAATCGGTACTCGTTATAATGCTGATTATGTACTCGCGTTAATATCAGCTGCGTTACCGGTCCCCGAACGCAGTTTTATTGGCGAAGCAGGATAGCCGGCCGATAATTAATAAATAGGAGTTTTACTGCGCGCCACGATTTAAAAACGGTAATTGTACTGTAATCGAACACCGTGCTGCTTACATCGTATTAAAAGTTTCGGAACGTGCTTCGTATATAAATTGTAATTAAGAATTGAACTGTTCCCGGTTATACTTTTAGGCGAATTGTGTGATACAATAATAGAAGTTCGAGGAAAATGTGATGAAAATTATTGAGTAATGTTCCGTTGATTAGTTACGAGACGTTCATACGCTGGTCACTAATGATTGGAGCTTCAAAATTACAAGAAATTATAGCTAATTATAGCTATAGTAAGATAATTGATATCAGATGGAAATGTTCAATAGCATAAATAGCTAGATGATACACTGATGTAAGAATTGCCATACCAAATATTAATGATTCCTTCTTCTTATCTTTGCTAGGAAATTATTAACTATCTTGCTCTGAGATTGACTTTTTGAAACTTCAATAGTGCATCTATTGAGACTTTAATTCATTCATGATTCAATTTGCATATTGACAAATCAATATCTTTAATATGTCCCAGAGAAGCACCTAATATTTGTTTAATAATCGCGAAAAGAAGAAATCTGGAATGGGTCATTCTGGCCCGTTCGGTGGTTCTAGTGTTAAGTGATATGGACGTGTTAAGTGAGAAGTGTGAAACAAGTGAATTTTTTACTTACTTGGACAGCGCTGTTGAGAAAACAGTTGTTCTGGCCAGGTCCATTGAGTAATCCTTTGGTGCTGGTGAAGCTGTTGTTGTGATCACTGGGCGACGATTTCTGGCTGGTTTGAACCTGTCCGTTCGCTTGGTTTCCATGTATTTGATGGCACTGCGACGACTGTAAATATCCACTGTAATCCACGGTATCCTGGGATGCAGCTGGCTGCTGTAAACCCATGATGGACGCCATCCTAAATCAGCTACGTTAGTATCATCTGAAAAAGGAACGGCGGAACGAACTTCATCATTAAAGTCCCAGTGATCAATAACGTTCGAAGTCTTTGGAAAAATGATTCCTTGTAACTGATACGATTAGAGGCCTAATGACTCATTGATATTCAAGCCTCGTGTTCAATTATCTATTCAAGATACGGTCGTGTCATGGATCATTGGTCACTGACTGTAGATCTCGACAATGTTTCAGATATCTTAATAAAACGGTTCAGAAAAATGGGAATAGTTCATGGACTGTTCGAACGATAATTAATTTTCATTTCCTCTTAACGAGTTTCTTTCGTCAATTTTAGCTATTTCGAAAATAAACGTTCGAAAGGTTCGAAAGAATCTAAGCAAATGAAACGATTATTTTCTGAGAAAATGTATGAGTCATTGTATAATATATGATTAAAAGAAAAGTTCCATTCGATCTAATTTTACAATCCGACGCATCTCTGCGTTCGGTGAAATATATAGTATGAGAGCGTAACGCGTGTAACTTCTGTGTGGAAGACACGTATGTAGATTACGGAAAATATTATGCACACTGTTCGGACCACCAGCAGAACGTGATCGTAAAATCGGTAATTTAAACGGCTACGCAGCTAGAAACTAAGCCAACTTTGTGAGTCATACGCACGCACAGAGCTACATTTTTCCGATAGCTACGCGCGATAACGTTATTTTCATTGTACTGTTATACACACATAATTAAACCTTTCTCCAAATTTTCCCCTCGCTCCTCTGCGACCGTTATAACACGTTCATTCGTAGGATGCACTTATTATTATTACAATGCATTAATTCAACAGTCAATTAACTATGACGCGAGTGACGTTAGATTCTTCAGGAAGCAACGGCAGCGTGTTAAATCTGTCCATTACCTTCTTGATCGCGAAAAGATGTTTGTAGATCCAAGGATAAGACGCAACAAGCTCATTGTTCCAATCCTTGTTTCCTTCCTTGACGACTTAATTCCCCGTGTTTCTCTTTCTTCGTTGTAAATATAATAACAAGCACCCTCATATAGAAAAACTTTTCAAACATAGTACTCTAAATCGTTAAAATCCCATTCGTTAAATTAAAATCTTCGTTTCAATAATTCGTGGCTCAGAGAATTGACTAAAACCTAATTCGCATTCTTTGATACTTGATTAACAAAATTACAATTCTCTGATCAGAATATTTCACGCGATATGATTTATATGAATTAGTAATACCAATCATGCTCTTAATGGATCCGACTAAATCGAGACGCTGTAGGCTGTCATTAATCACAAAATCGATTTGGATCTCTAATAAATCGAGTGCTCGACATCCAGGAGCGTTTCGGGCCAACCGAAAACCAACTTTCGAAATTCCGAAAACGCACAGGTATTTACCTCGTCTGAAACCTAACGCGTATCGAGTTGCCAACGTTTGCCCCGGCCGTGGCGTCCCCTTGCCGAGCGAAAAATACCATGGTTGCATTGTTACCGAACCCTAAAAGCGACCACGAAGACAGCGACAGGCCAGCTTAGGCTCTCGAGCACGTATTCGGCCCGACCACTTTTCTTGGCCCCTCGAAATTAACGCCGACCACTCAGCCGTACCATTTAGTATGTCGGCTCGCTCTCGCCGCCCTCTGCTCGGCCGATAATATCGGCTTCATTCAGCATCCTCTTTAATTCCCTTTCTACGCGGAAAACTTCGAGACTTCTTCCTTTCCTTTGACGGAAACTCCGAACAGCCCTACGAAACTACATGCTTTTCGCTCTTGACAGTGAACACAAAGATGGGAATGTTCAAGTTGCGCGTTCTAGAAACGGAATTTTGAATAATCAATTGACGGCGGAGGTTGGTGGTGCTTGTTATCGATTCGATAGGAAGATTTGTAATTATACTGTTAGATTAAGATAGTTGTACGTTGTTTAATAGATAGAACAATCTTTTTGCGAATTTCTGACGTGGAGTTTGTTTTCTTCCCTTTCATCGAAATTGATATTGCTTCTGATATTGTAAATCACAGGAAAATGAGAGAGGAATAATTTGGAACGATTGAAATGAGATTTCTTGGTTCCACATTTTGATGGGAACTTTTACCATTTTTCATTTCTACCAAATGTTGAAGTATCTTTTATCTCTAACTAAATGAAATTCGTAATATAGCAAATTTCTGGCGAACATCACGGCGTTTGTAGATTAATTTGTAAGAATCTGTTTGCGTAAGCATACCGGGAGCAGCGGTTACTCCCAATTACAGTTGTCAAGCGGAGTACATGTCTTTGGGAGCGGATGAAACAAAGTAACAGTTCGATCGTAATTATCCGGGAAGCTGTGTGTCCCGGGAAAGTGCATACGTACACGGTTGCATGCGATATCCTGTTTTTTGTAAACGAAATGAAGGGTAACGCTGCTCCGTGTCCCCGCGTATCTCAAATTCATGTAAGATAACGGTGTTAAAACGCGGCGAAGCTAATAGTGTTCCCTCGCGAACAGAGGGGAGACACACTGGAGAGTGCGAAACTGAAGAAATTACGTCGGAGTCAATACGTTACGAGTTTTACCGTTACAATGGCCACGCGTGACTCGCGCATCGTTTGGGTGAAAAGTGGGACTCTGGAAATAAATGTCCAGACTTAAACCCGAGTTCACAATTCCTAGCCGGACCACGCATAATTAAGCGAATATACAAACAACGAATTAGTGGGAAATTTATTTCATTGTGAATCCCGACGAATTGCAAATGAAGAAGCAAGCCGAAAGCTAATTAAATATTTTGGTCTGACCAGGTTCAGGTGATAAATAAACCGATCGTGAAACTTCCGTTCGCATAAATGAATTTCTGTTTAGAATAAAAGTAGCGATGGTACTGTTATTTATATTTCTACGATTATTTTGAATTATTTTGTAAAAACCTGTTGAAAATAATTCGTGTGATTTTTGAATTTGAGAATGCAGTTTATTCCAAGATAGCAAGAAATTGCCGGTGGTAAAGTCGTGGATACATTCCTCGGCCAGCTTCGAATTGTACTTACTGGTTCGCGTGCAATTAAAAAAATGTTCACCGCTATGTCGTTTTCCTTGAAGATCCTCGGCCGAGGCCGCGTTTCACCGGACTGAGCATTGGGGATCGCGGAGAATGGCTCGCGAATATCGATTCGGTGTTCATTGATTCGTTGAATACGATTTCTCGGTATTGTTACAACCATTCGATACGCGATACGCTAATGCCAGGCACGTGCCTGATTAACTTCAAGGAACGGTGTGGTATATGCAAAATGCACGCAAAATTCGATTCACGTAGACGCAGGTATCACTAACGACATAAATATCCGTCTTCTTTGCGTTCTTTGCGCATGTACGTATCGTTCGGTACAAGAATTGAGTACCTTATAATTATATATTCCTCATTTAAGCGTTTTATTCAGCTTCGAAGTCTGTAAACACTTAATTAGCACCTTTGAAACGTGAAATGGGTTATCTGATAAATTGTGTGTCTTCATATTTCAGAATAAATAAATGGAGACCTTCATTGTATTTGTACTTTAATAACTGTCAGGAGCTTCTTTGATTAAACGGTGAATTTGAAGTGGCAAACATTGCAAAATTCAGTCGTATGTTTCTTTTGAATGTACTGGCGATTATCACGTATTAAAGCAATATCTTGCACGTGTACCGGCAAATTCAGCTCAAGTCTTTTATGAAAAGCAATCGTAAAGTAACACGTTCTCGTATTTTTTTTTATTATTTCCGCAAAATTCATTCTCTGATTATGTTGCAAAGCTTCCGCACGACCGTGGGTTTTACGAGTCTCCTGAGCTCTGCCCCGCAATTTACCTACATTCTACGGCCGAGTATAAAAAATTCCTTCCACTTAAGATTATTCATTGCCCTAAGTTCTGTCTACAGCTTCCTGGAATTCGGAAGGAAATGTAGCAAATTACTGGGACGTTAAACAAATTATCGTATTAATTCCGAAAAGTATGAGAATTCACCGTGACAGTTTAATGCAAATCGTTCTCTGTCAAATATATGCTTGTATACGATTGTAGATGCAAAATTCATTTATGCACTTCGATCCATAAATCTTGAGACACTTTAAATTTTCAACATGTTCGGAGACTTTATAGTATATCTTACGCTGTGAATAGTTTCGAATATTTCCTTTTATTGTAGTACTTAGTAAATAACGATTATTAAGCATAATGCTAATTAAAACGGAGATAGTTCAATTAATTATCTAATACGAGAAATTTGGATTGAATCGCGTCGCTCTATTCGAAACGTAGCTTTCTCAGTAGCCTTTCTCGATAAACACCCACGAAACAGAAATAGCACTTTGAAATGCACGTCCGTCAATTTTCCGTTCCCAAAGGAACCATTGTGAAACCGCGATTTAATTTCAGATTGCGTTATCAGCGCTGAGTATCGTGGCGTTCGCTAAGATGTGTGAATAGATGTGTGGTACTATCATCCGAAACGCATATGTTGTTTGTTTTACGAAAGTAGACAATTTTCAAACGTTTTGCTGCAAGTGGTGTTAATTGTACATTAAATTCAAGACATAGAATAGATAACACAATATCTTGAATGATTAAAATCTTAAGATAAAACCATTTAATGAGACTGACATGTGAATATCATAAATTCTTTCTAGGAATATACGCAAATTTTTCATATTGTTCAATTTTTAATGAACGGCATTAAAGCATATAACACCATATTATTAAACAAATTGACAAAAAAAAAAGTGAAAAAGAAATTATTTTCCGGTACCGGGAATCGAACCCGAGCCTCCTGGGTGAGAGCCAGGTATCCTAGCCACTAGACCATACCGGAGAATTGAAATACAGATTTCCGTAAAGGCTACTTCACGAACTTATATATAATTTAAATAATAAGAAAATTATTTAATTTTATATTTATTCATTCTAATCGATTATAAAATATATTCTTCAATATTAAATAAACACTTTAACTCATAAACGACCAATTCTCATTGACAATAACAAATTTT